AACGATATTCACGATTATAAATTGCCTTTGCACCCCAAGGGGTATTTATAGTGTCAGTTAAATCATGAGGTATAGATAATAATATACGAGAAGCATAATATGAAGAAGTAAATATACTTATCACATTATCCCACCATTTATTTATTTCTAATTCAGTTGTCAGTTGCAAAGATGATTTGTAAATATTTGGAGATGAAAATGTGATTGACTGATTTTGATGTCGCTGCTGATGCTGTTGTTGTGACAATGATGTTTGTGAAGGTTTTGCAGCAGCAGCATCATGAGATGAGGGAGAAGAATCTGATTGTGGTTGATGATGCTGCTGCTGTTGATGTTGATGTTGATGTTGATGTTGATAATTATTATTGTGGTATTGTCGATTATCTTTAAAATCGATAATTGACATATTTTCAGAGGTAGCAAGATTATGATTATGATCTGAATATTGATTATGATTACGATTTGATACTGGAGGCGTGGGCAACGAAGGCAGTAATGGTTTTGATGGAAAACTATGATTAGGATGAATGTTTTGTTGTTGTTGAAAATGCTGTTGCTGTTGTTGATTATAGTCTTTATGTGATTGATTTTGTGGTGTTTGAGATGAAACTTTGAGTTTTTGATTATGAATTTTATTATTGTTATTATAATTATTTTGAGAGTTTATTTGGTTATTGTTATTTAAATTTATTTTTTGTGGTATTGAAGTATTTTCTCGCAATTGTTGATATAATAATTCTTGCCGATAAATATGCTCAGTGTAGTAATCTGTAATATTACTGTTTTGAATTGCATCGTCTGATTTATCAGGAGATGATGATGATGATGACGGCGATAATGATGATGACGGTGATGAAAGCGGTGATGTTGATGAAATATTACTTTCACAATAATTAAAATAGTTATTATTATGCTGTTGTTGATTATTATTATAATGTTTTTTTTGTTGGTAACATCTTTGCTGTTGATTTTGCGAATTTCTATTATTACTATTATTAATGTAGTTAACGTTATTACCACTCTCACTACCACTCTCACTACCACTACTACTACTAATATTGTGTGGCGGCATATGAAGTATAAATTCTGTTTGTTTCATATTCGTTATGTTTATATATATATATTATTATTATTTTTCGCGTTAACCAAATAAATAAAAACCTTATAATAAATTAATAGTATTAGTGTTAATAATATTATATAACTTATGATATCATTGGTAATATATGCAACTTACCAAATAAATATTCCAAGTATGTATAATAAAAGATCTTCTATCGTAGCGTATTATTTTTCTTGTTAAAAAAAGAAGGATTATATTGAAAGGTTTGTTTCAAAACAAAATTGATTAGTGAAGCACATTAACAAATTTTGTTTTTCTTTCCTTTTTAAATTACAAAACTTACTTTAAGGATTAAGAGAAACACGCTATTTTTGAAAAGCTGGTTTTTCTAAAATTAGGCAAAATTAGATGAATACTAATCAAAAAGGTTTTTTTTTTTTGAAATCTATTTACAAGTTTTTTTTTTCAATACGAAAAAAAATTAAGAAAAATTTTATTATATATATCATAAAATGAAAAAAATTAATTAAAATAGAAAGTATTTAAAAGGAAATTAGTAGTTTAGTATGTTATATAACTTGTAAAAAATTTAATTTTAAGATAGGTTTAGTTTTAAATGATAATTAGTGTATATATGTTATGTATGTTATGTGTAAATCGCTCGATGTTGTCATTATGCATATAATATGTATAATGATGCTATTTTTATATTTTGAGTATCACAAGAAACACATCAATCTTTAATTAAATTCAAAATAATTATTTCTCCTATCTCGTTCGCACTAACTTCACATTCACACCCACCCACACATTAAATTTTTATTTATTCTTTTTTTCATTTCTCTATTGTTTCATTATCAATATCATCTATTTAACTAATTTCTAAAATTAATAACAATAAAATAACAATGATGGTGGTGATAGCGATAGCGACGAAAATCTGATAATAATTAATAATTATTTATTATATATTCTATTGCATTCCATTATATTACGTTCCAGACATAAATTCCAATATAGGTTCCATAATTCCTAATACCAAGAAAGAAATACCAGATAATAATAATAATCAACACTAAGAAGAGAATTTCTGCTTGTTATGGTTGTTGACTTTTTTACACTAAACAAAATGTCATTGACGGATCACAAACCTGTGTCATTAACTGTAATTAAATTGGATGAAAAAATTTAAATGTTTTTTTACTTTTGTAATTCCCTTAAAATAAATTACGCAAAAACTTCTTTTTTTTAAATCACGAGACCAATAAATTCCAAGTTTAATATTAAATAACAATATAAATAATAAATAATAAAATTTATAATACTAATATGCGTATTTCAAGTTATTTTTTATTGATCGATATATCTGCCGTCTAATAAATATAATAAATATAATAAATATAATAATAATAATAATAAATAAGTAAATATAAATAATAATTATGATTATAATCAAGAAAAGGAAAGTATTACATAATTATCATTATATAAATAAACGGACTAATAGCGTGTAATATTATATAATGCATATACACTATTAATTCATTCGCGTAATAAATAATTATAATAAAGAATCTAAAAAAATTTATCCTAGTAACGCGTATATATAATATTGTAAATATTTGTAAATACGTAACGTATGTCCGCACATTCATCACGTTCATCATACATATTGGTGGGATTAAAAATCTTTCCTTTTAAGTTGATTTTTTATTTCATTCAACGGCGTCACAGTTTGTATTCACAAGATATTTATTATCTTTGTGTGACTTTATGACATCATCAACATTAAAAGATCTACTGTCAATTCATTATTAAAAAGTGAACGGAGACTGTATAGCGCAGCCCCCTTTTGTAATTTATCAAGTGTTGTTGGGTTATACAATGATGACATGCATGATGGCGAAATTCAGAAAATATGTACTGTTCTTTAAAAGGTTATCTCCAAAAAACAATTGAACAAATACGTGTGGATGCGTATGGAAATAAATTTATATATTTATTTTGGGGAGTTTTTTTTTTTGGGAAGCTATTTTTTTGAAAAAAATACGCGAAAAAATTTTTATAATAATATATGCAAAATAATTAATGTAATTTTTAAAATAAATAGAATGTATGCAATCTGTTTCTTTATAGTTCTAATGGAACAGATTCACAATCAGAGCATAACCACGGCTGATCTGATGAATATCGAGTAAGCCCTACGCATTCACGATGATACCACTCAATCTTACACTAATAGTATAATTGGATGGTGACAATGAGTAACAATCAATCAATCAATCAATCAATCAATCAATCAATCAATCAGTAAACTTACTTTTGGATGATTACACCAAACCATATTTCCAAATTCTGGCTGTACAATTTTTAAAAAATTTAGATTTATAATTTTTGCAATATAATAATAATAATAATAATAATAATAATAATAATAATTGTTGTGAATTTTCTCTTACTCGTTTACAATAACAATACAAAGGTTGGTCAGGACTGAATTGAAGAATTGGATCATCACTAATATAACTCCTAATTAATATATAATAATAATAATAATAATAATAACAACAACAACAATGAACTTGAATAATAATAATATTGATTTACCCTTTTAAATACCAATAATCATTATTATCAAATAAAGAAGGAAAATGAATTAATGTCATAGAATAATTAAAAATTAACAGTTGTAAATGTGTTTTATATCAAATACCTAAAGTTATATCATTCCTGGATAATTCATTATCAAATCGTTGAGCATGTCTAGAAATCTGGAAATACAAATAAATACAAATACAAATATATATATTATCGTAAATACTTTAATAACAAACTATCCCTACCAAATCTTCTACTTTGTCAATTAATGCTAATTTTTCATCTTGTATTTTAGTTGCTTGGTCTAATGCTTGCTAATGATAACAATATCTTTATGAGTTTTTTGAAATTTACGTGTTGTAACAAGATCAGGGATTGGTTGATATTATTACATTTTATATGTAAATTTTTTTCGAATAATAACCATAAAAAAAAAAAAAAAAAGAGTAAATAAATGCCTCTACTAAGCCTTTTAAAAGCCTCGATTTTTCTTCACCGATTTGATTAGTTTTTTCCAAATAATCAAAATAATTTTTTTTACTTTTTTTATATTTTTTTATAAAGCCTGTTTGTTTATTTTATTTGAAAAAAAAATTTAATAAATTATCATCATCATAATTATTTAACATAATAATAATTTCAAAACATTCCATTCACACATTATTATTATATAAATATATTTATATATTACGTTCACACTGTACGTCTAGAGTCCTTAATTCATTTAAATGGTGTGTAATTTCCGAAGGTAAATTATATACAGCTTTAGAAAAGAAAGAAAAAAAATCGGGATCATTATAATGTAGTGTGAATGTATATATACGTTATAATAATAATAACAACTTACAATCTATATAATCTTCAAGAACTTCGGATGCTGACCTAAGTCCTGGTGTATTGTTGTTGTTATTGTTGTTATCGCTATTGTTACGAATGTTTTGCATTTCATTCATTTCGGTAGAAATTATTTTATTATTCTAAAAAATTAAAATATAAAGTGTTTATTTATATAGGAAACAAGAAGGAGGTTTATTAAAAAGTTATTTTTTGAACACAAAAGTAAAAAAAGCAAGAAACCACATGTATCTACCGTTAAACTCAAAAAGTCATCATTCTAGATTAAGTAAAATTAAAAGATGAATCAAAAAGAGCTCAATTTTTAAGAAATTTGAGTGAATTGTGCAGAACATGAAATGTTTTCTTAATGTTTCGACCATTTTACTTGTTAAAACATCCCACCATCAAATTTTTATGTGTGATGGATATATTTCTATATAAATATGTGTGTTCATGTGATTAAATTCAATTCCTTTCTTTTTTTTTTTTTACGATTAACAAAATGTCTTCTTCCATTTCTTCCTCAAAACAGTGGTATGTAATATAGATTAATAGAGCCATGTAAATAAATAAACAACTTCAGTATTATATTCGTATTCATGCATAATTATTTTATTTATTATTATTATTAATTAGGAGAGAATTCAATTTTTTTGATGTTCAGCAAATTAAAGATCCAAACAATACAAATGCAACTCCTGCTATTTTTCAAGTAATCATTATATTAAACCTTATCAATTTCTTCTAACTTTACAAAGTCTCAAGTCTATTATTTGCTGCCTTTTTAAAAACACAGAAACCAGATATTACATCGAGCACTAGTGGTCGTGGAAACATTATTTTAGCTGATATCCTTAAATCGTCATCATTTGAATTCAATTCAAATTTTCAATTTAAATAAATAATATCTTTAATTTGACAGGAATATTCATATCCAATTATTGTAATGATAATTACACTCTTCAGGATATGTACATGTTGTAGACAAATCATTTAATGTACAATCTTTCTTAGCATATGATGGAGGAAGAATCACACATATGAAACAAATTAAACAAAAGAATATCTTAGTAACAATTGGCGTATGTGTCGCAAATGTTTCCTCATATTACATGACAATAGTGGCAAATCAATCTAACCACTTTAAATATTAATTTAATTAATTAGGATGATGATCCTCCTGCTATTAAAATATGGGATCTTGACAAGCAAGATAAATCTAAAGGAACTCCTGCATGTCAACGAACAATTAAAGTTAATCATGGTGGTAAACCTTTTCCTGTATCAACGTTTGCTGTACTAGATAATCTGGGTCAAATTGCTGTTGGTTTGGCCAATGGTGTGGTTGTGTTGATTAAAGGTGATTTGTATAGAGATCGTCATACAAGACAAAAAGTAATACATGAAAGTGAAGAACCTGTCACAGGTAATAAATAATAATAATAATAATAATAACTATAATAATAATAATTAATTACTTAATACATGATTATTAATTGTGCAAGTATTTTTATTTCTTTGATATTAACAGGGCTTGGGTTTAGAGAACATTGGAAATCAATTATTTTATTCATTGTTACTACAAATAAGATTCTAACTTATGTAACAACCAGTAAATTACCACCTGTATGCCTTGCTTTTTATTATTATTAATTAGTTAATTTGATAATTTGAAGATATTTTAATAATAATGATATTATCATTATTATTCTCTTGTTTTAGACTATTCTTGATGATCAAGGCTGTGGTTTAAATTGTGCTATAATGAGCGATACCACACATGAAATGGTTGTTGCTAAAGATGAGGTAAATTATATCTCAAATGGATTTTATTTTGTGTGCGTTTTTTATATATGATTAATATTTCATACTTATATTTGCAAAAAAAATTTTTAGGCAATTTATTTCTATGGACCTGATGGACGTGGATCTTGTTTTGCTTATGATGGTAAATCGATGATTTGATTAATATCTACATAAAGATATATATATATATATGAAACATACATAAATAAATTTATAACGTACATAAATAAATATATAGGTGTCAAAACATCAGTTACTTGGTTCAAATCGTATTTGATAATCGTTGCACCTCCAGTTTCTCAACCAACCAGACTTACAACTACCACACGATCAGCTTTATCAATACTCCCAGGAAGTTCTCAACATCACCAGCAGCAGCAACAATCATCTTCAACGCTTTATGAATTAACAAAAGTAACTATCTTTGACACTGCAAATAAAGTTATTGCATACATGGGAACTTTTTCATATGGTGTCAGAACAATTACTTGTGAGTGGGGCGGTATTTATATTCTTGGAATGGATTCAAAGGTTTTTTGTTATTTTTAATTTTTAATTTTTAATTTTTAAACAAAATAATTATAATTATAGTTGTAATTATTATTTATTTAGTTGTTCCGTCTTGAAGAAAAAGATACTCCAACTAAATTGGAAATATTATTCAAAAAAAACTTGTATTTATTAGCCATTAATCTTGCACATAGTCAAAAATATGACGATACCAGTATTTCAGAAATTTTTAAAAAATACGGTGATCATTTATACGAGTAAATAGTTTTTTTTATTTTAGTACCAGTAATAATAATAATAACATTATTATTAATTATAATATATAATTTGCATTTATATTTACATTTAAATCTACATTTTATAAAGTAACGGGGATTATGAAGGTGCAATGACTCAATATATTCGTACCATTGGTCAATTGGAGCCTTCTTATATTATTCGAAAGGTATTTTAAGAAATTCTTAAAAAAAAAGAAACTTTCAGATATTAATACTAATCTATAACATTTATGGAATCAATGTTTTTAAAAAACACATATACAGTTCTTGGACGCCCAAAGAATTCATAATTTAGTAAATTATCTTCAAGAACTTCATTCGCATAATTTAGCTAATGCAGAACATACAACGTTATTACTTAACTGTTACACCAAATTAAAAGATGTAGCAAGATTGGATCAATTTATTAAGGTAGAAATAAATTTTACATACATTTATTTATGTCTATTAAAGGTTTTTGTTACTGCTATATAAATATAAATATAAATATATTATATGATTAGACGGATAATGAACTTACATTTGATTTGGAAACTGCTATCAAAGTTTGTAGGCAAGCTGGTTATCATGAACATGCTGTATATTTAGCAAAAAAATTTGGTGAACATGATTTGTAAGAATTATTATTATTGTCATTCATTATTTATTGTTACTGATATTGATTTATTAAATTTCCTTCCATACAATTTCATATATAATAACATTTTAATTAATTGGAATCCTTTTGTTTTTGTTTTGTTATTAAAAGATATTTGAAAATACAAATCGAAGATGTTAAAGCATATGAAAATGCATTGGAATATATAAGAAAGTTGGGTCCATTCGAGGTTAGTAATAAAAATGTAAATTATTTCATTAGATCCATTAACTTATTAATTCATTCACTAATCATTCCGTATATTAAAAAAAAGGCGGATCGTAATTTACAAAAATATGGAAAAATACTTCTTAATCATCTACCAGAACCAACCACCAAACTTCTCATTGATCTTTGTACGAGCAGTAATAATCAGATTAGTGGAATCAATAATAATAACAGTAGCAGCAGCAACAGCAATAATAATATAACTGCATCGTCGTCATCATCAGCTATGATAAATGGTCATTCTTATTCTGCCAATGATAAAGTTTCTAGTGTTTATAGGCCACCGCCAATTCGCACTTTTATGTCATTGTTTGTTGATCAACCAAATTATTTAATTCAATTCCTTGAACGAGTGTCTGAGAAACGTTGGGGAGGATTTGGACTGTCACGTAAATCTAATAGTAGTAACGACAACAGCGACAAATCTTCTTCAACAGCACAATTAAAATCAAAAAATTTTGATTTACCTAAAAACAGCAATAACAAAAATTCAAAAAATAGAGAATTGGATGATAGTTCTGAATTTAACATAAATTTTTCTGACGTTGGCAATGATTATTATAATGATGATGACGATGACGATGGTGACCAACAACGTGATCCAGAAGTTGTAGAGAAAAAAGCTGTATGGAATACACTTTTGGAACTTTATTTATCCGAAGCATATTTACCACCCGTTATAACAACTAAAGACGCTAAAGGAAGAAAGTTAGGTGCCCCAAGTACTTTTGCTGTTTCAACTGAAACAGAACGTATTAAAGAGAAACATATAAGAAAAGAAAAGGCATTGAATCTATTAAAAGATGAAGATGTAGGTCAAATAAATTAATAATTAATTCTACACACACATCATTTATCTACAACTAATTTATATCTATTATTAATCTGTAAAATGATAGGTATCATATGATATAAATCAAGCATTGGTTCTTTGTTACTTGGCACAATATGATGATGGGATTGTTTATCTTTATGAAAAAATGAAAATGTACGAAGACATTTTAAGATTCTATATGGCCAAAGATAATACGGAAAAGGTCATTCAAGTATTAGGAAAATATGGGTAAACGTTTGGTTTATTTAATTATACATAAAAAATTATATATATATATATATTATATTAAAATTATATCATGTTAATTTATATTAGTCAACATGAACAATCCCTATACATATTAGCATTAACCTATTTTTCATCATCACCAACAAATTTGGAATCATCATCAGTTGAAATTTTACGAATACTTGATTATATTGATAAACATAATTTATTGCCTCCTTTACAAGTTATTCAGGCACTTAGCAGAAATTCACTTGCAACTTTGAGTATGGTTAAAGGATATATGGGAAGGAGAATTGAAAGTGAACGTAAGGAAACACTTGCAAATCTTAAAATGATACAGAATTGTCAGGAAGAAACAATAACAAAAAGAAAAGAAATTGAAGAACTTAAGACTGTGTATGTATGAGGTTTATACATGTGGCCGAAACTCCCATCGAGTTTCAGCATCTCTGGAATTCCAAATATAGCAAATGATTTTAGTTTTACTAGAGTTTAACCGAAACTCTGGAGAATTTATTTTATAGTTTCGGCCAAATCTCAACATCGATTTTTATTGTTGTGCGTGAATTTGAAATTTAAATTCATGCGCGTGAAATTCAAACTAATCAATCAGAATTTTATATCCAAACACCCACCACCCCAAAAGTTTAATTATAAATTCAAATTCACATAAATTTGATTTTCACGCACAACATTATCATGGCCGAAACTCACGCGAGAAAGGTTTCAGCCACATGTATAATGAGGTTTTTTTAAAAATATTCATACATACGTACATACTGATTTTAACTTTTTATCATTGTTGTCATAGAGCTCGTATTTTCCAAGTTACAAAATGTTCTGCTTGTCGTGGGTCACTTGATCTACCAGCTGTACATTTTCTATGTCGACATTCATTTCACCAAAGGTATTTTGATGATTAAAATTAACTAATCAACTAATCAATCAATCAATCAATTAATAAGATAATGTATATTATGATTTTAGATGCTTACCTGAAACAGATCGTGAATGTCCTCAATGTGCTATTCAGAATAGAGAGATACTAGAAATTAGAAGATCACAAGAAATTTGTGCTGATAAACATGAATTATTTTTTGATATGGTAATTATCATTATTGTTGCTGTTGTTATTGTTGTTTATTTGAAGTTTTTTCTTATTTTTTTTTTTTATGGGGGTTTTTTCCTAAAAATAGTTGAATGAAGCAGAAGATGGATTTAGTGTTATAGCAGAATATTTTTCGAAAAATACAATGGCATTTGCTAAAGTTATTGATTAATTGATGAATTAAGTAAAAAATTTTCAAAATCGGAAATATTTTTATTATATTTTTTTTTTTTTATAAATATTGATTTTGTCTATTTTATATTTATTATTAAAGTAAATCATAATGCAATATCACTCGATTGCTGCTTTATAGTTACTATACTCGCATTCCTTCTTTCAAATAAAATTAATAAAATTGAAAAAAATCTGTTAATATAGAAATTTCTGAATGTTCATTAAATACAATATTAATCAAACCAAAAACTTTTTAAACGCGCCCATTGTCATGTCATATACATGTTCAATAAAGTCATTTAAGGAACTGAGAGGTGCTTCATTTTATTAATAATTATTGGTACTTAAAAATTATTCTTCCTAATTTTTTTTAATAATGTCATCAATTGATCCATCAAAAAAGAAAAGAGGATTATTTATAACCTGGGAGTGAAAAAAATTCCATCATTCACATATGAAGAACCTGGTTTAAAATTTGGAAATATTAAAGAAAAATGATTAGCAGTAAAGCTCCGAACGGTTCGGTTCGGTTTTTCGGTCTACATTCGACCCAAAAATTTCAGACATTCTAAAATCGTTAACTACGCAAAAACATACATGAAAAAATTATAATACTTGTAGCTTGTTTTGACGAATGTATTGCGAAGTAAAGATGCTGGAAGGATTCTGTTTCTAAATACATACATAGTCCATAATTTTTATACCATGGTAGCGAAGACCATGATTGAATTTTATCCATAATGCCATGTTTAGATACAGCTGGTCAGTTATAGGTCTGATAGTTTACATATTCATACAAAATTTTGTATGTTTAGAGTTTTCATTCGTAATACAAATTCTTATTCGAATTATTCGTTTTATTCGCTTTGTTCGAATTACTCGTTTTATTCGACTAAACTTTCAATGTAATTCGTATACCTAAATTCATAACGAACGAAACAAATAATCGAATAAACCTTATTTGAGTAGAAACCCTAAGGACATTCTATTTTTTTCAATTCACATATATAAAATTCATCAGCAAACTTTTTAAACACATTCAAACACTTATTGTTTCAGGTTCTAAATTACTACGCCTTTGAGTAATTAAGTCTGCGCCTCCAAAAAAAATCGTTCGACCGGGACACTGGTTGCTATAATAAGTTTATTAGATTAGAATTTAATAGATTTAATTCTAAATAAGCAGAGTGCAAAAATTAGAATTCCAGGGACTGCCAAGTAGTTCCTAGCCTAAAGCTTCGAAGAGTTTGGTTCAAATTGAACCGAACTGTTCGGAGCTTTATTCATTGCTTAATCTTCATTTTTATAAAGTTTTGTATCATAGTCATCAACAAATTTTCTAGTTCTATAATGGTTAGTCTTTTAGATGAATCACTATCCCAGCATATTTGCATCATTTCTCCACATTCTTTTGGGATTCCTGGTAATTTGGTGGCCATAGCCCCTCGCATATCTTTTAAAATTAAACCAGAGTGCGTGAGCTCTATCATTTAATGGTGGACATCCAGCAAATTTCACATCAACATTCCAATACTACAAATATCTGATTCTTTTTTCCTAATGCACGCCCTATAGAAAATTTATGTACGGAATATGTGCGGAACTGCGGATGTGTAAGGAAAATACTTGTAAAATGTAAGGAAAAATTCATTTTTCCCTACATGAAAAAAATAACAGAATGTAAGGGAAAAATGAATTTTTCCTTACATTTTACAAGTATTTTCCTTACACATCCGCAGTTCCGCACATATTCCGTACATATTCCGTACATAAATTTTCTATAGGGACATTATATATTATTATTACTATTGTTAGCTGTAGATTGAAAACAAGTATATATATTGATAATATATATTTTGTACCCATATAATCATACATCTGGATAGCAGAAGATGCTATTTTTGGAGGGGCAATAATACCATCTGTGGCCCAAGTGCCTTTGTTAGTATCATCATCATCATCAATGTAATCATTTAAATTATGTATTCTATGACTAGAAAATGGATAATTGAATATTTGTTTATAAAATAATACAATTGGGGTTTTATAGCATACCAAGTTTTTCTCCATATTAATATAAAAAAATCAACCCATCTTTTCAATGAAAGATTGCAGGTGGACATTCATTTGTTCCACAAAATCATAAAATGTTACACATAAAAAATAAGTCTTTTTTAATATTAAAGCAGTTGACTATTTTATTAGCCAACTCTTTTCAATTGCTTAATATTAGGTACTGTAAACATGCACAAAAAAATAAAATCAGATATAGATTTCTGCTTAACATTGCAAAAAGTTTTATTGGGAGAAGATCCACTTGTTCAGTGGAGTAGTTCTACCAAATTTTGATATGCAAGCAAGAATTCACTTGGCAATACCAACAAGCTCAGTGCCATCCAAGAGGTTGTTTCCATCAGTTGGAAATGTATTTACAAAGAAAAGAAATAGGTGTGGTAAAAATAGTATTCATAATATTCATTTCTTAAATAAAAATAATTGATATTTATGAAATTCTTAGCCGGTTAAGAGTTTATAGACTTGGCCAGCTTAATGGCTGATATCACTATTTTTAACAAAAAAAAAAAAACTTACAACCAATTAATTGTGTAATAATGAAAAAAATTTGGGATGCAAAATTCTGATTGGCTAATTTGAATTTCACGAATAAAAATAAATAAAGCTGCTCAATACAACATGCTACTGAGATGATTATACTCTGTGGATTCTGGCTACCACTTATCTATGAGCTCAGCAGTTCTGTATAATCTTTGCAGCAAACCAGTTCAACTGGTTCTTTCGAAAATATGTTGTGCATCTTGATATAAATATTTTTCTGATATGAAATTTATTCATGTATGTACCAAATGTAAAATGTAATTATTTTTCAAAAAAAAAAATTATATTTACCCTTTTTATATCCTTCCAATTGATCTGTTTTTAATTCACCATATGCACGTTGCATGTGCTCATTCAATAACCTGTTAGTTCATATCTAAATAAAACTGTTCTAATAAAAATGGACATTTGTGATGGTTAGAGTGAGTGTTTTGCTTGAGGGTTTGGGACACCCTGAAAATGGGTTAAAAAAGGTTGTTTGGATCGAATGATGGGATGATCCAATGTAAGATATAATGATGTAAAATATAAATGATGGGATGATATGATATGATTTATTTGTGATGGTTAGAGTGAGTGTTTTGCTTGAGGGTTTGGGACACCCTGAAACACACAACATTTCATTTTGCAAATGATTTTATTATATAATGACAAAAAAACTTTATTATTGTTATAATAACAACCAATGTTATGTACAACATCTTATTTTTTTTTTGTATTCACAAGATGAAGAAAATTCTCACATAATATTATTTATGTAGTTTTGCAAATTTAAAACCAAATATTAGCAGCAACATTAAAACAGATATGGATGGATTACAATTGAATTAAAGCAATATGTAAGAATGATTTTAATTTATTAAAAAAAATTATATATGCATGCAATGTATTATTGATTTAAATACTCATTGTTTTCTATAAACTGATCACTAAAGGTGATCCTATTGATCTTGAAAAAAAATACCACCATCTCCAAATCCTAATAGCAATTTCAGTCATATATATTCGCACAGTTAAAACTATAAGATCCTTGATGAAACCTAAACTTCTAGCAAAATTCGGAGTGCTACCAAACAAGTACCATTTGTGTACTGGGCCAATCATAGATTCATCACCTTTTATTCCAAGTTTATTTGCATGGTCAACTCTGCTAAATTCTTCCTCTCTTGTTTCACACCATGATCCTCGAATAGCATAATATGCATTCATTTTAAAACTTTCAATCGAACTACCACCAAGTTGACGATGTATACCTCGAACTAGATTAATAGTACGAAAAACAAGTAACATCTATTTTTAAAAAAATAATTTATATGTAAATAATCCATATTATGGTTTATTTTTTTTTTTTTATAAGAAAATAAATGAGAAAAGGCAAAACACATACATCACGTGGTAATGCTTCTAGAAAGTCAAAGAAATCACTTAAAGTTATATTATGAAGTTGATCACGAACAATATTTTTTTCTTCAAGAGACATGTCTTCACCTAGAGGTGTGGAAGAGTCAGAGATACGTTGAGCAAAAATCAATGGAAGAAATTGAATATATTGAGGGACACCCAAAGATTCAGACACAACTTTCAAAGCATTGGAATCGTTCAGAACGAGAGCTTTCCATAAATCACAATAAGTTTTACGAAAATCATCAGACAATTCTCTATACAATCCATGATCTAAAAGAACAATTTGAGGTTTTTTGGTTTTAGGAGAAATTGTCACCAGAGCATTTCCAGGGTGTGGGTCACAATGAATCACTCCATGACAAAATATCATTTCTGCAAATATTTCTAATAATATATTACGAACCCAATTAGGATCTGCACCAATTTTTTTTAATCCATCAATGTCATTAATTTTGACACCATGTATGAATTCCATTGTTAAAATTCTTTTTGTAGTCAAATCCCAATAGATTTTTGGGATGGACATTTCATTTGCACGATGTCTGAATCTTTGTTTAGTTAGTTCACCATTTCTTGCTTCTTTCTCAAAATCAAATTCAGAAATCAAGTTTTGTTTAAATTCTGTTATGATCCAAGTCAATTCAAATTCCGGAAAGAAATAAGAAACAATATTTGACATTGTTTGCAATGTCCAAATGTCCACATTAAACAGTCTATAAACATCAGGATATTGAACTTTAACTGCCACTTCATCCCCATATTTTGTTTTAGCTGTATATTAATTAATATTAATTAATTAATTAATTAATATATATATATAAATAAATAAATAGGTAGGTGGTAAGTACCCTTATGAACTTGTGCCAAAGAAGCAGCAGCCAATGGAATTTCATCAAATTCTGAAAATAAATCTTTAGGAGTTAGTCCATTAAATTGTTCATAAAAAATCTTTTTTACATCATCCATATTTCTATAAGGTGCACGATCTTGTAAAATGGATAATGTATCTATCAAGAAAAATTTATTTAAAACTATTGTTGTAAACTAATAATAAAATAAAATAAAATAATTTTAATAAATTAACCAACCAGTGTATTCTTTTGGTATAATAAAAGTTAAAGAAGCAAGATGTTGACCTCCTAACATAACAAATAAAATCAAATCAAATCATTATTATCGCTTTTAAATAATAAAATAAAAATTAATAATTTTATGTTTGATTCAAAAAAACCTTTAATATAAATTCCAGTGTGTAGTTTACACAAGTTTAATAATCTTTTTGCAACACATAAATGTACAACTTTTTGAGCAGCTTTATATTCCTCTGATTTATAACCTTTGTTTCTATACTCAAAATATAACCATTTATAATCCAACATACAAAGGCAACTACAATATTAGTAAATATTAAATTAATAAATATGAAGGTTGTGTATACACACACACACACACACATATATATAATATTTAAACGAAATAAATAAATGAAAACTTAATCAATTCGAACCTCGTACCAAACAGCCAACGTTGCAGTAGATCGAAAAATTCCAGCACAAATCAAGGTAAATTTATCCCTATATTGTTCCGACCATGTTACAGCTAGTATAGTGGTAGCAGTAGTTAAACCCAAAACACTTAAAGCTATTTTACGTATAGTATTTCGTAATTTTGAAAATACGAGTTGATTTTTTTTAATTAATTGATTAGACATATTGGTTGAATTAAACTTCGGTATCGGTAATAATGTAGTGAAGGCGGTGATGGAAGGCATATGAAGATTTATATTATTATTATTATTATAATGATGATGATTAAGATTTACAATATTTATCCTTCCTTTTAAAAAACAAGATCCCGTTAAAAATAGTCTATTGGAAAATCTAAACCTTGAAACATTTAACATATTCATGATCAGTCAGAATAATAATTCTTTGCCAGATTTTTTTTTTTTTTTTGTGGAGCCAAAAAAAGAAACACGTGTTGCGTTAATTTAACTTCAGTAGCACAAGCTCCGTGATCAACATAAACTACAAGGGATATGAAGGACCCTGGGGAATCATTACATAATTTTCTTACTAATAGCCCATTTAAGGATGATCGTCATCCCCAAAAACAGTTGCGTGATAATGCCTCTGGTGTTCAGAGAACCCATTCTTTGACAAATTTTATCTCAACTCCAAGATAGATCATCAAGTAACACTACAACATTGGTCCACTTCCCACCACTACTACTACCTTCTAGCCTCAATCCAAAACTCATTGACGAAATAAAATGTATATATGTAGAAAGAAAATCTACAATACAGAAATGGAAGCAATAATAGTATTAGTATTAGTAATCCACGATTATAAATAATATGTTACAAACAAACAAACAAACAAATAAAAACAAAACAAATAAACGTGGAGAATTATTTATTTTTATTCTCAATTACGTAAAGCACACGGAAAATAAATTTCTAAAAAAGAGATCATTCATTATATTAGTATTAATAACAATAATTGATTTGCTTTGTTTAGATTTACCATTCTTCCAAGAATTACACACTCTTTCAATTAATTAAATATTTAATATTATTACAATAACCACAATAATCTATTATTTCAGCAGGACGAATCATATTTAAGCACAATATTTTTTTTTGCAAAGAGGGAAATTCCACTTTCTTTATATTTATATTTTCAAATTACACACGCACAACACTCTCTTATACACACTCTCTCACGCACACAAACCAAACATGTGTATTTAATTTATTTACTTCAAAAAACATTATTCTTACTTGGAATGTTAAGATTATGTAAGGAATTGGTAACATCATCATTTATCATTACCCAATAGACCATCAGATTTGACCAATAAAATTGGCTCGTGTAATCCAACATGTTGGAATAAATAAATGAATGAATGCATCATCACAAATCAATCATTTGTAAAAAAGCTCAGACAACAAATTTTTTAAATTAAGTTTTATTTTTGAAACAGTAAATGAGCTTTTCCAGAAAAATTTTTAACGCATGTATGTATGTAATAATAATTAAAAAATGATGGATGATGATGATGGTGATGATGATGATAAGGAGTATTTTTTAAAAAATGCAGTAGATCAACTGTGGAAATTAAATATTATATAATTAATTTGCTTGTTTGTTTATTATTTATTTTATTTACGATATATATATCAATTTTAAAGTCTTTGTAAAAACTGTAAGAACTTTAAAATCTTGTAAATTCCTTAATTAGAAATTCGGCTTTTTTCCCTTTTACCTTGCGTCAAATAAATAATTGTGCGGATTTTCCGAAAAAAATAATTTATTATGCATTTATTTATTTTTATTTAGTATTAAATCTCTCATCATTATTTAAATATTACAATTATTATACTTATATTATGTCAGCCCTTAGTAATTCAATTCGATTTGTTTATATCAGTTGTTTTATTTATCCGACTATCTGTTGTTATTTATCCGATTATATATATATATTAATCTATCCGTGCAACATTTGGCTCGTTATTTCCTATAAAAACTCAAGTTCATCAACATCAAAAGGCCATCAATCAATTAAAAAAAAAAAATAAAATTCATAAAAACATCTAAATTAGTTACATACTTTTTTTCTCGATTTAAAAAAAAAATTTAAAAAAATATCAAACAAAAAAATATGTCGGAAAACATTCATTTTGATTCTAGTATTAACAATAATAATGATAATAATGATGAAATTATCAATTCTAATAATTCTCGTCCATTTTCTTCTCATTCTCCTTCCTCCTCCAACTCTACTACTGCTGCTGCTGCTAATAATAATAATAATAATACTAACAATAACAATACGATCAAATTTCCCGCACCTGGCGAAATCAAAATACCATTTCCACCTCCAATCAGCAAAAAAGATTTATTACCCCAGATGAAAAGAGGAAGAATTCCTATCAGAGCAACAAACCAGTTTCTATTGTATAGAACTGCACTAATCAAAACACTTCGTGAACTTGGTTATCAAGATTTTAATATGAGATTAATATCCAAATTGGCTTCGGATTTCTGGAATCACGAACCTGAATATGTTCAAGCTGCATATAAACGTCTCGCAAATCATGCCAAAACCTACCATAACAAAACGATGAAATCTTCAAAAAAATCTTCACGAAATAACAATAATAAGGACGGTAATATAAATAGCAATGGCAATAACAACAATGTTGTTGATAACGATGATGACTATGATCATGATCATCAAAATTCAAATCAAGATTACATCTGCAATTCAAATTATTCAGCTTCGAATTATCTTGTTAACAATAATTATCATCATCTTGAAAATTGTTTAGATCAAAAAATCGATAATTATAACTATTATACATTATTATCTTCATCTCCATCAATTTCTTCTTTGTCGTCATCTTCATCAACTTCTTCATCCCCATCATCTTCACCGTTGTCATCAACATCAATAATACCTTCTTCTTCTTTTTCTTCTTCTTCTTCTTCTTCCACTTCTTATTCTATTCCACCACCACCACTATATGTTACCAATCAAAGTTACCAACCCGATGAATTTTTTATTCAAAATATTTACAACAATAATTTTAATAATAACAACGGTGTTATAATACCATCAAATTATACAAATTATATTTACCATAATAGTGATAATAGTGGTAGTAGTAGTAGTAGTAGTAATTATCAACCACAAAACTTATTATACCAAGGACAATCCGAATCACAATTTCACGATCAAAATCAATTTCAGGATAATCCATCATTAAACAATTGCTATCAGATTCAATACTTGTATTGATTAATTAATATTAGTAATTAATTAATCGCAGCATATGCGTAATATAATTTACTTTAATACATTGATTGTATATAAAATGAAAATTTTTTTAGATTTTTTTATTATTTTAGAAAAAATTCGTTTGTATAAAAAATTAATTTTATTATTATTTTATTTTTTTTCGTATCAAATTTTATTTATTTATTTTTTTTTTAAAAATTGATTATTTCGTTTCGAATATTTTAAAAAAGAAATCGTTGTCAAATTATGTCAATTTTCCAAAAAAAATTTTTTTAAGACTTTTTTTTTTATTATTATTATTATTCCGTTTTTAAAACTTTTTCTCCGCATTTCTCTACAAATTTGTTAAATTTTAATTATTTTTTTTTTATGAAACTTGAAACTAAAAAAAACAACCCTATAAAAAAATAAAAATAAATTATTTTAATATTAATTATTTAATACAATAATTACTTCATTTGTATTATTCTTTTTTCCCACCGCTTCCCCAAAATAAATCTAAAATTGAATCTAAACCAAATTGGTATATATTAAAATTTAAAATAAAACGGATTATAGTAATAATAATATAATAATAATCTAAATCATTAATTGCTTCTACTATCTATATTGAGCGAGGTTAAAAAAACAAAAAAAAAGACCGTGTGATTTTTAAAAAAGTAATATTATTATAAAAAGTATATTGCGGGCTCCGTTTACCCTTTCTAACAAATGTTTGATTTGCAGAATGCACATCTAAATGTCTTTGAAGGTCCAACACAAGTTTTACTAGTGTACCTCGGTGCGGACGATCACCTTTCAGTTTTAGGATTGATGGTGGGTTGGTTTTCGCATATGGGCTCTCACACATCTTTCCTTTTCAGGTATTTTCTCCCCCAAACTTGTTGACTACACTCCCCTACCATAAATATCCGACCACCTGATGATCATTTTAATAATCGGAAATGTTACGCCTTATGCAGTTTAAAATTTTATTAATCAAACCGGGACTGGTGCATCAAGTAAACATGTTTTTTTTAAAGTTAATTTGCATATATATAAACTTAAAGTCTCGTCGAGTTTGCATTATTAATGAATTTAGAATGAAAATTTTAAATTAGACAAAAAATTCCGTGATTTTTATGAAAACTTTGAGCTTAGTAAAAACCTTCAAAACTCCGTTGAATCATGGATTACATCATTAAATAAGTCCACTTAAAATATATATGGTTAAAATTTGATCAAGTATAGACAACAAAGCGTAAAGCCTTAAAATTTGTATTTTGTCAAGTGTTTATATAATAAAATTACGGGGTGGTCACGAACTAATTTATGCCAACATCATATTGCAGATAGATGTGATCTGTTACGTTGAGCACATTTTATTAATGAAATGATATTATGAAGAAATTTGACCTTTATTACATGTAAAGATTCCGATTGAAAATTTGCTTTTTTGGACTATTTGCTAAATGTTTCCATTAATACCATACCGAAACCTTTCGAAGCTTTTGTAATTTATAGATTTTGATATCAAGTACAAGTCTACTTATTTAAGAAAACGTTAATTTTTTAGTAAGGATTCTTTTCATTTGACGTTACACAGCTTTGGTGGTCGGATATTTATAATTGCTTCTCTAATAACATAGGGTCAGGGTCTTTAAATTTTTCGAATTCTTTATTGATTGATTGATGTTATTATTTTTCATGTAAAAAATGTTTAAACATTGAGTTTGGCTGTATGTCTAGCAAGCAGTACCAGCTCATTTCGATATGATTTGTTTATCCTCCATATTAGGAAAGAGCTTCCCTGATTGAAGGTTTTAAAAAGAAGATTTCTTTAAAACGTTAGGTGTTTGGTTAGTTGAATCGTGCACGATTCAAAATCTAGAATAATTTTCACTGAGCACAATGGTTTACTAATCAACGCCAGTTTGTTATCATGAATGGATTACATCGGAGAAGGTGGTCGGTTGGTTAGTGCTGTTTGTGATAAAATCGAAAACATCACGATATTTTAATATAAAAATTGGGGAAAAAAAAGCAAATTATTTCTTTTTATTTTTTTTTTTTTTTTTAAAAAAAATAATAATCATTTTATTTTTTTATTTGTAGTTTTTATCGATGGGGTATAATAAAATGTGTATTATTTGATATAAAAAGAAAATAAAAAACCATTTTAAAATCAATTTACCCAAAAAGGTAAGAATCCAAATACAAAATAAAATACACAAAAAACTATTTGCTATATTTTTTTTTTTTATAGTAAAGACTTCATCTCTCCTTATATCTATCTATCTATACATCAACAAATTCAAGGAAGTAATAAGTTTGTTCTAGACAAAAGAAAAAAATTAACTTATTAAAAAAAAAAAACAAGGTTAATGATTAAATGAGTAATTTTATAGAATTTACATATATTATATTATTATATGTTATAAAACTTGCATTATAATGAAGAGTGCGTCTGTTACAAGTCAAGTGAAAAATCCAAGATTTTATTATAGAAACGTTTAGATTATAATTTATATTATTTAACAGCACGATCAATAAGAATCTTCTTACCTACATCACCGAATATACGAATATATATAAAACAGTTAATTATTATTATCATTATGCGTATTTATGCGTATCGTATATTATTTATAATACAGCCGATACTCGATGTAATAAAGCATTTGTCTCGGCACTTTTTTAAAAAAAATATATAAAATAGATTATATATATATAGAAAAATCAACTTCTTCATATAATCGTTTATTTGTTCACCACATCCATACGGTTCACTATATAGCATTCACTAACTCTTTATTGATTCATTATATATGCTATAATGACCAATACAGGATCGTTATATAATGGAATTCGCTATATAATAGAATTCGCCATATAATAGATCCTCACTATATATAAATTTCACGACAACGCCGCCACATCTCCCTCCTCCACCATTCATCGTATCTATCAAACATCAAGCTATACCAAATAATGTTAAATATTATATCAACATTATATTCTCAAATTTTAACAAATTTTAATGAAATATTATAGGATTTTGCTATATAGTAAGTTGTCACACCGTCTTACGACCCACACATTATCTTATTATTCCAACCATTCATTGTATATTGAATATTATTCATATTAAATTCTGATTTTATTCTATTTCAAAATTTAAATTCAATAATATATAGTTTGATATGTGTGTGTAATATAGGATCTATACAATTCACACAGTATCATATATGACTCACTCGTTATACACCGACGATTTCACTATATATTGGACGTGATCCATTGAATTCAATTAAATTAATATTATATTTTTCAATTTTTAATCAATCTCTAATCAAATTTTAATCAAATTTTAATCAAATAAAAAACTTACTAGATTCTTCATCCACTCTTGTTTTTATTGATAAACACCATATTATTACCAAATATATTTCATTATTATTCACGTTTAAATTGCACAACTTTTTCACTACAATATCTGATGATAGTATTGTAATAGCAATAATAATTGATAAAAAAGTGAGATATTTCTAGAAACTTTTGGGGAACCCTTTGAAATTGATAGCATCTCACAGCACTACATTATATAGCATCCGGAGATTGCAAGCAAGTAAGTATTGTTTAAATAACAAATAGTAAATATATTTTGCTTATCTTTTTAACATTATTAATATCTGCTTCCCAACAATAAAAACAAATAAAGAAAAGTCACCATGTATAAATAGTTTAAAGAGAGGACTATCTTCTTCCACCAAGACTTTCCAAGGTTAAAAGTTGACGAACGAAATCATATTTGGATATTACCATGTGCTTTGCACAATAACTAAACCAATATAAAGGTAAATAATCATAATATGAAGTCATTATTACATGATAAAATGTGTCATTACGAGGGTTTTCTGTCAAACCGCGTTTGTTATTGAGTTGATCAATCTCCCCTAAAAAATATTTTTATTGTGTCACTGAAAACCGAACCTCTTTTTTTTCTAGTTTTCTGTTGTCTATTGCTTAGCATGTTTGTTTGCAGTTACACTCACACAACACATCTCGTTATAAATGATGCGGTGATAATTATGATGTAATATAATATAAGCAGCAAAGTCTAAACAAGGGTGACTAACATTAATTCTATTTTAATTGTGATTAAATTTCCTAAATTTGATTCATTTTTTAAATGATAAACTCTTTTTACAAAGAATATTCTCTGTTGACTCAGTATAAATAATAAATAATTATTTTATACTGTGATTATTATTATAAAATTTGCTATCAGCAAATATCATGAGAATGTTTTATCAATCATTGTTTTATCTGATTGTTGTTTCCTAGATACAACATTTAATGTATGCAGACAAAGTTGAGCCATCTATCCGATTAAAATTCTTTTTTTCAAACATTTATTGCCGGTATCCTTCCGACTTATTTCGTCTTGTTCCGAGATACAATTTCAACCCCCAAAAAAAAACAATTATACAAGTGTATTTTTAACCCACACAAAAAAATTTTTTAACAAAACTAACACTTTAAACAGTTTCAAAATAATATTTTTATTAAATAAAAATGAGAAATTGCCATTTACTTTTTTTTTTTTTTTTTTTTTAAATATCATGATCTCTCGTCGTTCGTCGTTATTACTATTATTGGTAATGATCTCAAAATTTGTCCAAATAAGAAATTTTACAATAGCACGTCCGCATTGTGCATATTACACTAAACTTTTTTTGTTTTATCCTGATGACCTCGGAAAAACAACTATTAATCGAGGCAACAAAATAAAAATGAGGTTTTTAATTTGTTTAGAATATAATTATTGTTATATAGTAAATTTAGAAACTATTTCCAGAAATTCAAAATTTGATTGGTTAGTAACGTTACACGGCCCTTTGCGCCCTCTCAATTTTACAATTTTACACGATTTATTCTATTGTCTGTTGTACGACGACGATTGATGCTTTTTCACGTGCTTCTAACACTATGAGTCAAAGATTTTGAATGAACAAATGATTGTGTGTGTGTGTGTGCGCGAGTGTGTGTTGTGTGTGTGTAAATGAATAGAATAAAGTTGTTTTCTAAATGTTTGTTTATTTTGTGAATCTTGAATAGATGGATATTGTTTTGTTGTAAAAAACATACTAAATTTTAAATATTATAAACTAACTGGACAGTCACCTACCTCGCTTGCTAATCTAAAAACAGATGCATCGCTAATTAATAGTTCCACGGTATATATATATAGTGAGAATTATATTTATTATTTTTGATTCAAATCAGCCAAAATACTTTACATGTTATGAAAAATTACTCGGGGCCGAAAAAATTGTTTATTTGTAAAAAACGCAATTATTAAAGTTATGATATATAATAATCTGATTATTTTTATCAAGAATTATCGAGCGTGTCCATTAATTTGCTCATTATATTCAAAAAGAGACGAAAAATGCACATGTATGTGTAGGTAGGTATGTAAATAATTAACGAAACTTCAAAATGACAAATAATAATAAATTGAAATATGATCTTAAACTTTTTTTTTTAAACATATAAATAAATAAAAATATATAAAATAATAAAATAAATGTACGACAAATTTGGCAGAAGTAATTAATTTATTTGTTGAACATAATAAAAACTCTATCAAACTCTTAATAAATAAAAAAATTTTTTAAAGTAGAAATTTTGGTACTATATAAAAAATACTCTTTAATGATGTTTTTTTTTGATTGCCGATAATTTTTCATTTTTTTTATTTCGATTTACCCACACACTCACTCTCTTTCACTTAACAAAATAACAAAAACAAACTCATCTTTTTTTTTTCCTTTTATCGTCAATAATTATATTATATAATATTAAGAAATGAAAAAACAACCGAGAAAAACTAAAATCAATAGTAAAAAAAGTAACAAGAACGACTTCAATAATACCACAAATAATAATATGAAGCAAGAGACGACACGAAGTAAAGTGACAAATGCTTGCAAGAACTGCCAAATTAGGAAAGTAAAATGTACGGGGAACACAACCTGTCAAAGATGTCAAAGGCTTAAACTCTGTTGCGAATTTTTAGTCCCACAAAAAAAGCGTGGACCTCCTAAAGGTCGACCACTCATACATAAACGAAAAGTGAAGAAGGTGGTCAATAAAATAGTTGTTTGTGAAAAACTTAATTTTCGTGTCGGTCTATCGAATAAAACTTCATCTGAAAACACCCAGCCAATAAATCTTAATGTCAACTTGAATATTAACGTGAACGCTGACGACTTGAATAATGGTATGCGTGATGATGAAGTCAATAATGATAGGATCGTTGAAGATGCTAAAGATGATAATCTCATTATAACTAGTCGAAACAATTTTCTACAAAATAGTAAGAACATTTGTACATTTATTATTTGTAGGATAGATCGTTCCTGAACTAATTGTTTTTTATTTGTGTTTCTTTTAATAGATTCATATGGAAATAGTGATGATAATAATAATAATAATAATAATAATAATAATAATAATAATATTGTTATTGGCAATCATGATCAATATTTTGCAAATGAAATATTGACTTCACCATTAATTACCTCAGGATCAACAGGATCAACACCCATGACAACAATTAGATCATTTATTAAATCATCATCATCATCATCTTCTTCTTCTTCCTCCTCATCCTCTTCGTCATCGATATCATCACCAACGTCAACGATACTACCGACTCCGATGTTAATCGATACACAATTCGTAAATTATTCAATGTCGCCAACATTAATGCCAACAATCCCGCCCGTTCCAATTATCGACAAATCATATTTGGAAAATTTAGCCATGGAAGAAAACAGCAAGTTGACTTCCGGTAGTGGCAGCTACAATAGTAATACATTTAATGAATCATTAAATACTCATCCTCCATATGTTTACGATGAATCACCATATAGTGGAAATTATTACACCACCACCACAATGCCATACAATATGTTGGAATCAAATACATACAGTACGTAATTTTTTTTTGGGTAAAAATTTTTGTGTGCATTGATTGGTGTAAATTAACTTAAAAAAAAATTAGATGTGTTTAATAATTATCAATATAATAATCCTTTAATCGTCCCATCACCATCTCCCAATATGTTTCGTGATAATTTTTGGAGAATAAATTCTGGTAGGCATGAAAATATTTCACACGTCATAACCCCTATACAAGAAAGTTTCGCTTTACTCACATATAACTATTTGAATTAAAATATTATTTATTTTAGGTGATGCATCATCATTTTTATACAATAATGAATTTTGATTTTCGATGATCATTTATTTTTATAATTCGTGTCATAAAAGTCATAAAACCTTTTTTTTTGTTAAAATAATATATCAAGAGATGGAATTTTTTATCCTTATTAATAACTATTTTTTCCCCAAACGCGCGAGATTAATTAAATCTTCAATTATTTTGTCACACATACATCATCATCATACATACACAACATATTCTTTTTTTAATATTTTTTTTCTTCAATTTTACCATAGACGTAAAAGTAATTTGATCAATTGTTTGATTAAAATACTTAAAACATTATGAAACCAATTATTTCTATAAAGATTTTTATGGTTTACGCTATGATATAAATTTTTTTTTAAAAAAAAAATTATTTTCAATGAGAGGGTTTTAACGATATATAAGTATAAAATGTAAATTGAGCGAGCGCGCAATAGAATAAAATTAATTATTGAATATTGTGTTAAATAAGAATAGAAGGTTCTAACCGTGTAACAAATCATTTATTTATATGTGTGATTGATTGTATATTTGTATATATGATCTAAACAGTGAGATATATATAATCAATCTACGGATCGATATTATTAAAATAGTAAGTGTATACACACACACACACACACACAGCAGATCAAGTGAAAAAACCTGAATTACTCAGAACAAATAAATAAATTGTTCCAACAGTAATGATAATAATGACAATGACAACAACAATGATAATGACAATAATAATAATTTTGGTATTGACGCGCGCTCGCACGGACATAAACAAACATTATTATTATTATATACATAATGTCATCATCATCGCCATCTAATCCATTTGTTTACTTGTTTGTTCGTTTTTCTTATTTATTATCATCGTTATCAACATAATTACGATAATATTATCATAATGAATGTATTTTTTTTTTCTTTGGCAAAAGTTGTTTAATAATTAGCATTCGACAATAATGATGAAACGTGATTTTTTTAAAATAATATTTTAAGCAACGACCACCTCCAATCACCATAAAAGCTCATTTTCTGGGGAAAAAATCCCCCATAATTAGATTATGCACATCTGATGCTTCTTATGTAATGCTTGCTTAATCGAAAAAATTTGTCCAAGATTTACCATAATTTTCATGATGTTATTATTATTATTATTATTATTATTATTATTATTATTATTATTATTATTATTATTATTATTATTATTTGTTTATTTTTTATTTTTTAATTTTTTTTTTACAAACAAACAAATGATTAAAAAATGTCAATCTTTGTTTATATTATTTTTTTTTGAAAATTAACTTTATTCATATTACGCTTACTTATTTTGTGCACATTTTTTAATTTTCAATTCGTCATAAAATTAAAGTACGAGGGGTTTAAGAATTAATTAATTATTTTAAAGTTAAAACTTAAAAAAAATTTTGTGATAAAGAAACCATTTTGATCTGCTTTGACATACTACCAATAAAGCATTTATTGACTGAATTTTCCATTCACAAAAAAAAAAGTAATTAAAACTTTCTTAATAGATCATCTTCGGGCATTGCATATATATATATATATATATGTATGTATGTATAGGTTATCATATGGATTTATTATCATTGTAAATTGAAAAATAATGACGAAAAGTTGGTGATATTTCAATTAATTACACTATAATTGTCGGTGATTACCGCAAAACTCACATAAACAGAATATAATATATATAAATATGTATTGGTAGTATCGTCTTTCATGCAAAAAGGCTTTCCTTCGCTTTAAATTTTAGTGGGATAATTTTAATGAGACCAATTCTCAAATTAATGATGAAATAGAGTTTTTTTTTCTTATTTCACTAAATTGGTAAACACTATTTATTAATGCTATTGATGGATGCCAGCCATTATATAATTTTTATAGAAGTCTAAATCTGCAAAAGGTCATCATTATAACCATCAGCACCAGATCATCAATTATCAGATTTATTATTATCATTTAAATAATTAGTTAAATATATATGTAAGTTATCGTTTATAGAAAGAAGATTAATATATATATAAATTTTTTCATTATATTAAAGTTCAACCTTGATAACAAAATAAGGTATTTAAAGACCTAGAAATTTTATTTTTCTGTTGAAAGATCAGTTCCACTTTTTAATAATAAATAAAAAAATAAATAATCCAAATTATTTGGAAATTTACAAAAATTCGTGCTGTTAATAATGAATTGGCAAATAGTACAAACTAAGTAGGTAGTCTGTCGAATCTATTTTTTTGATCTCTCTCACAAAAAACAATAATAATTTTTTAATTTTTTTAATAGATAAAAAAAAATCGCAATTTAGTGGCAAACAAAAGTAAATCATGATATTAACATGAAAACAAAAAAAAAAATCGTGTGGAAAGACAAAAACTATTATATCGTATCGTGTTTCGCCGTTAAAATTTTTTTATTTCTTCTTTCATTTTTTTTCTACTATTAGTTAATTAATTTATGTTTTTGGGTATGGACGAATTTCTATATTTATATTTATATATATATGTTATATTTTAAGTTTACTTTTAAGATTTTCTAAGATTTTTAATGTTCATTAACGTCATCATCACCACCATCATTTATTATTATTAATTACATACAAGTCTGGGTAAATGTGTTGATATTTATAATTCACAAAAAAAATATTTGAAAAAGGTTATATACACGCGAAAATTTCTTTTACACAATATATATATATATTATATATTATTTTTTTTTTTTCGAAATTAAAAGAGAGAGAATTGAAAAGCATCAAAAAAAAAAAAAATTTTTTTTATTTTAATTTATTTTGTAAATATTTGTTTATACTGTTATTTTTTTATGAGAAAAAATCTTAAAATTTTGTCTTTAATATATATTTTTATTTTCTAGTTAAAGTCTTTGTCTATTTCTTCTTGTAAAAGTTGTAAATATATAAATTGTTACTCTTACAAATAGATTTTTTATAAAATTGTGTGTACTCTCTTTATTTTTTCTTGTAGATCGAATTTTACGAAAAAAATTCTTAATAAATTTATATTAATATTAATTAAATTATGCGATTTATTTTTCTTCCCCGCAATATTAATGTGGGTGCTTTGATGATAAATATTATTTTATGGAGTGATGGTGATATTTGATCAAACAATGAATTTCCAATTCATTGTTATGATAACGAAGATCAATACATTTATTTTTGTTGGCTTTCCCCGTTATTTTTTCTTCTGCATCTCTTCACGTTATATTTTTCCGGGGTACGTATTACTTTACCGACATTTTACCGACGACGTGCGGCGTTCCATTTTAGCATTTTGTTTGGTTATGTGGAGGTTAAATGTAACCCCGGGTTGTCGATAAAATGATGATTGTTGGTAAAATGAATGCTTCCCTTTTTCCGTCACAACTTAAATTTATAACTACATCCGTAAAATTCCGATATACCTCGGAAAGTCACGGAAATTGGGGGTTTTTCCCAAAGAACGACGATGCTCAATTATATAACTTATTGCGCGTATTAGAACATCAAAGTACAAAAAGAAAAACCAAGTTCTAGAAGTTTCGTCGGTTTTTTTCGAATGTGATTTTTGACCATATTAATATTAATTGTAATATTAATTTAACATGTGTAAATTTACATTGCAAAATTTTTTTAAGCCAAGCAATAATCAATTAAATGCGCGTCCTTTATTCACAATCTTTTTTGGTGCGTGATGTGTGCAAGTTGCAATTAATTAATTTATAATACATATTCTGAGCATTTTAGCATTAATTAATTAAAAAAGGAAGAAATCTATATTATTATTATTATTGTTATTACTGTTATTATCATTATTTATTATTTGATTATTATTTAATTGATTACCTAATGATTTATAATTTACTAATTAACTGTTGTGTGTGGGTGGAACTTATGCAATTTGGATCATAATTTCCCTTTTTCAAAATTTCGTGGAGTGACAAACTTTCTATTTTGTGTTTTCAAATGTCATGTATATCATTCCCCTCCCAAGACAACGGATTTTTTTTAATCAATTGAGGAGCTCCAAAAAAAAAAAAAAAAAAATTTTTTTCTAAAATAATTGATTAATACAATAAACAAAAGTTACTCTTTTTAATTTTGGATGCATGATGATAAAGAACCTGAAAATAAATACAGTAGTAGTAACATATACAATCCCTTATCTAATACAGGAGGGATTATGTTTGCTCATGTGTTCATTTGGCTTGATTATTTATTTACATAAAATAAATTTACCAAATTTGATCTAAAAATATAAAACTTTTGTCGTGGTGATCATGATTTTTTCACGTAGAAACAAATATTTTCTAAAAACTTCAATTTAATAATTGCTCATGCATTCTCATTCATTCATTCTCTGATGAAGCCTAATCCCGTTTTAGTAAATATATTTATTCTAAAAATACATATTAAACCGTATCAGAACTGTAATTCTTGGTTTGTTTCACCACATAAAAATTTATAAAAATTTTTTTATAAAGTCTTTAATAAACATTTTAGTTTGTCAAACCCATTATTTCCTATTATGTAATCGAAGGGGGAGGGAGTTAACGAACGTGCGAACCTGCGACAAAAAACATAAAACAGTAAATGTAAATTGAAGATTGAGTAAATATCGAGTGTGTTGTAATTATTTACGTGTAAAAATATTAATATTAATTATTATTAATATATTTATGTATGCATGTGTGTGTATGTACGTATTGATAAACAATAATCATTATTATATTATTAACAAAATAATAAACTTAATGGATAAAATTTTTTACGTTCGCGCCATATGTTTTATCAAATCTTCTTTTTTGGAAGAATAAAATCAAGCTATTCCGGATTAATATGTTTTTTAAAAAAAAAATTCCTCAAGGCATGCATGTGTATATATATATATATCTGCACATACCCACGTACTAAATTAAAAGATTGATTTCATCGTTTTTATCATCATCAAATTGACAAATCAGCCTTTTAACTTTAATTTTGTATCTTTAAATTATTTGTTTATGAGAACGGAAAATCAATAACCAAAGTTTACCTACAAGAAGACCATCACTTAATGATTTAATCAATTCACTTTATTGGTTAGTTAACGATATTTTATGTTATTATTTTTGACCAGGTGAATTTTTGTGAATCAATCATTTTATTCTTATTATGCAACCTCGGTGATTTTATTTTTATTTTTAATTTTGATTGTATTTATTAAATTTATTCGGTAGTTATTTTATTATACAAATTCTAAATAAATAATTTATATAAAAAGATCAAAAAGTTAAATTATTTTTAAATCAGGAATTTCTTCTTCCTGCACAAAAAAAATTATGGCTAATCAAGCCTCTACTTTCTTTCTCTTTTTCGGTGTTTTTCTTAACAATCATATCGATTTCTTAAATAAACAAAATATTCATGATAAATTTGCATTTTAAGCATGTTTAATCACGAAATAATAATTGTCCATTGGTTAATCACCTAGAAAGTTGAACATTTAACTTAGGTTAAAGAGTCTCTTTTTTTCGTTTTGTAATAATGAGTTATTATAACGATTTATTGATATTTTATTTTTAATTTTTTAGGTTTTTTTTTCTTGATGAAAAAGGAACCATCATCGTGGATTAATTAAAAGAAATTTTCGATTATTTATTTCTTTTCGTTATATTTTTTTTCGTTTCTTTTTTTTTTTATTAAAAAAAAATTTTTTTTTTGGAAAATTGATCAACATAATTGACACATTTCGATTTATTCTTTATTATTCTTTATTTTTTTCTACTATTTTTATAAAACATATATATATATCCATATCCAAAACAAATTAATTAACGATAATAATGATAAATTTTATTTATTAACAAAAATGTTAATATTTAAAGATCTATATTATAATTAATTGGTATGTTTTTGATTTTTCCCTCGAATTACAAGTTATTTTTTCATAATTAATATGATTAAGATGTTAATTTGTGTATTTTTTATTGTTTTTAAGTGAAAAAATAAGCATTGAATTATTATTTTGTCTTGTGTTTTTTTTTATATATAAGTAATAAATAATAATCAATATTATAATAATAATAATAATAATAATAATAATAATAATAATAATAATATTCTTTTTTTTAATTTGAAATGATAAAATCGATACTACTAATACTAATACACGGATAACCTTCGGATGAGTCGATCACGAATAACCGAGTGTGGTCTCACAAACACGTGATTTTGAAAATGAAATAAAATCTTCAAAAAAATCGTGTTTAATCGTGTAACTTTATACACGTGACTCTTCCCAAAGATATGAACTTAAACAAAATTTATAGAACAAATAAATTAATAAATAAATAATGTGTATTAATAATATTGATATTGATGAGAAATATAATGGTGGAAACAAAAACAGTAGATTTTTTTTGGTTCATTTAAAAACTAAATTTAAAAATTTGTTTAAAAAAAAGGTAGAAAAATAAAACAAAATTTTCTTAAAAAAATATATATATTAAATTTTATATAACGAATGAATGATATTGTTTACAACAATAGCCAATTCTTCACCGTCGATACCGCTATACTAATAATGATAATGATAATAATACGTTTCAAAATTTACTACCAAATCATAAAGATGTTGATGTTTCTAATATTAATAATCCGGAATATGCTAAAACGGCCCTACAAGCAATCGATCAAGTTTCATCAGAATTGAGAGAAATAAGCTTAAAAGTTGTTGTTTAAATTTTTTTTGATGATAACTTTAAAAATTTAAAATTTTTACAATATTTAAATACATGACATACGTAAAAATAGATTCATGAACATCCAGAATTAGGAAATCAAGAAAAATATGCACATGAATTGTTAGTTACATATTTGAAATCCAAAGGATTTGAAGTAACTCCAAGTGCATATGGAATCGAAACAGCTTTTACTGCAGAATTTCAATCTAAAGTTGGAAAAGGAAAAGTAGTGTCATTTAATTCTGGTAATTAGAAAAAATTGGGATTGGATTTGATTTTTCTTTATCGTAATCATTAACACTAATTTACTTTTTAGAGTGGGTGATCATTTTAAATTTTGGTTTTACTCTCTTAAATTTATATGCATATATTAATATATGGTTATTTAAATTGAACATGTTGTGAATTTTAAGGTATGATGCACTTCCAGGAATAGGTCATGCCTGTGGTCATAGTAAGTTACTATACATGTTTATGTAAACGGGTTTATAAATGAAGATATTTTTTAAATCTCATTTATATTCATTTGCTCATGCAAATATAGATTTAATAGCAATAAGCGGTGTTGCTGCTGCAATTGGTATTAAATCAGTTATTGAAAAATATGAAATTGAAGGAACTGTAAAATTATTTGGCACTCCTGCTGAAGGTATTTATTTATTATCATTATTATCATCATTATTATTATTATTATTATTAATGTTATATATTATATATGTTTATGCTTGTTTTAAAGAAAGTACTAATGGAAAAATTGATTTAATTGAGGCTGGTGCTTATGATAATGTTGATATTTCTTTGATGGTTCATCCAGGGTTTCTAAATAATTTACATCATCATCATTATAATAATAATTATTTTAAAATGATATTATTAATTAATTATTGGTATTGTTTTTTAAATAGCGTTATTGATGCAGTATTCATGAGTTTTCTCGCATTAAGACCTGTTACTGTAGAATATTTTGGAAAGAATGCACATGCTTCAGGTATTCTAAAAAACCAAATATGTTTCATATACGTATGCATGTATATATATGTATGTATGTATGTATGTAATATTTATTTGTTAATTTTTAGGAGATCCATGGAATGGTATTTTATTAATCAAAAATATATATGAATCTTGGTTTTTTTTTTGAGAGAAAAAATTAAAACCAATAAAAAAATTTTTAAATTTTTATATAATTGATTAGGAATTAATGCATTAGATGCTTTAATTTCGGCTTATAACAATATTTCATTACTGAGACAACAAATTTTACCTACTGATAGGTAGCAAAAAAAAAGTCATTAATTAATTTTCAAAAAATTTATTATTTTAAAAAAAATCTTTTTGTTTTTTTTTTAGAATTCATGGAATTATTACTAATGGTGGAAATGCTCCAAACAGTTAAATAATTTTTCTTTTTAAATTTCAATCTATAATAATAATCATTTTTTTAATATAATTTATTTATTTAGTTATTCCCGATTATACTTCTGGATCATTTTATATTCGTGGTAAAACAAGAAATGATTTAAGATCTTTACAACCACGTATTCAAAAATGCTTTGATGCTGCATCTGAAGCTACTGGAACTAAAGTAAAAACTAATTGGAAAAGAGAAGTTCATGGTAATATTTAAAATTTCTTTTTTGAAATTAATGTAATATAATAATAATAATAATAATAATAATCTATGATATGAATAAGTAGATGTTAAAAGCAATGAACCTTTAGCTACAAGATATGAATACTATTTAACCAATGTATTTGGTAAAAACTTCCGACCAAAACATGAACAATCAGCATTCCCAATGGGCTCAACTGATCAAGGTAACGTTACGTATGTAGTGCCTGGTATACACCCAATGTACGATATACATACATTACCTGGTGGCAATTCTAATCATACAATAGGATTTACTGAAGCTGCTAAAACTATTTTGGCACATGAGGAAACCATTATAGCTTCTAAAGGTATTACTTTGGTTGGTTTGGATTTCTTGATTGATGACAAATTTTCTAAAGAAGTAAAGAGGGCTTTTACTGAAAATTAATGATTGATGATCAAAATAACAAATATTAGAATGTATAATTTCTAAAAATTCAAATCATAAATCATAACTCAAATTGAAATTGGGCTTTTAAAAAGAATAATAATGATGTTTTTGAAGAAATATTATGAAAAACGTGAAGATTTATAAAATATTAATAAAAAAAATTTCATATTATTTATTTGAAAAAAAAAAATTTTTAAATTATCATTATCTTAATTTACTTAATACTTTTATATATATTAATAATCTTAATTCTTTGCCAATTTGCCAATAAATTTTCCAAATAAAAATTTTTTTGCCAAAAATGTTATCATATAAAAAACTTCCTTATTCATATACATATAATTGTCTTATTTACAAAAGAATAAATAATTTCAATTATTTCAAATATTTCAATTATTTATTATTTTTAATTCCATGACTAAATAATTGTTGAAATTCTTGTTTTTGATAAGGCTTCATGTCATGTAAAATATTCCTGACTTCAATCTCTTTCTCAGCTATCCAAGACATTTTTCGATCTTCATCATCAAAACCATTTAAAATTTCCATTGTATTTTCTATATCAGATTTCCAATAAAATCTTTGATAGAAAACTGATGGATTAAAACACTTTGTAGACGGAATAAGCGAAAATACTTCTTTTGGAATCGACGATGGTGGATTACGTATTCTTTGATTTTAATTTAATTTTTTAGAGTTGATTAAATGAAAATATGTGTTAATATGTATACATAATATCATTTTATATATACTTACGATAATTGTATAGTTTTTTCACCGAAACAATTCCCACAACAAATAATCATTGAAGGCCAAATCTCGTAATAAAATTTTTCATACGATCCATCACAAAATTGACATTTATCTGCTAATAAAGTTAGCCAGATATATTTTTGCTCGGTTAAGCCAAATGGTGGATCTAATTCTGGATATTTCAGAAAATTCTTTCTAGATTCTCTCCAAATCAATTGTGTTGCATCAGACTTCGACCATAACAAATTACGAAAATACTTGCATATTGTTGATAAACTATACAAATCATACGGTGAAGTTTCTTTACAAATTTCTATTATGATCTCAGTCGGTAATTTAATTAATGAAATTTTATATTCGCTATCTATTTTTGAATTATTATTACAAGAATTAACAGTTACTGTTGTTGATATTGATGTTACTGATGTTGTAGAAGTTAAGGTTGCTGAATTTGTCGTTGTGGTGGTTGCAATCGATGATAAATCTAACTTTTCTCTATAGCATTTTTCAGGCTGTATAATGTTGGTACAATCTGATTTATTATTACATATAATAAATTCACGTAAAACTGTAAACAATTCACATATTGTTACACAAGTCATTTTTTAATTTCTATAATTGAATGATTTCTAAAAAAAAACAATCAATGTTTTTTTTAAAGAAAGATCCATTAAATTTGGAGATTTTTTGTTTTTTTTTGTATATATATTTGTATATATATATATATATATGAATTTTTCGTTTTTTTAAAAAAAAGATTAATGAATGTAGTTGAGTTGTCAAAAGTGGCTATGAAAATTAATTTTACAAGTAATTAAACAAGTTAAAAGAATGCCACTTTAATGTGGCTTCGTTATAAGCGAAGTTACACCAAACCCACCAAAACAAAAATCGGAAATTTTAATTTTAACCAGATTTCCAAAAACGAGTCTTTTAAACGGTAAACTGAACATGATATTGATCGAGAGTAACTATTTATCGAAATTTTTTTTTGATCGAATCAAAAACCTTTTTAAGATAATAGAAAAAGTGTTGGCACATAATATATAATAATAAAAATATACTGCAACAAAATCAGCATTAAATTGCAGGGGCCTAAATTTAGTCCAACATTAAATTGATAAAATATTTAATACACTTTTCAATTTCAAAAATAAGGGTACCTTGCTTTTATTTTATCATTATTAATTTTAAAGATTTAAATTATTCTTCTTTCTCTGCTTCATTTCCATTTCGGTTTCCACATACTCTTACTGTTTTTTCCTTATATATTAATATTAATTAAACATAACGAAATCTATTTATTATTAATTGAAAGGTTAAAACTATATACTTGTTAATCTTTCAATTAGTAATAAAAAATGAACACTATTGAAGATATAAGTAAGAATATTAGTATAACAGATACATTGAAAAGTTTGAGGAGAAGAGGAAGTTGGAGAGATTGAGCGAATTGGGAAGTTTTAAGATCTTGGTTTTGGTCATTTAATTAGCCTCCAAACATGTATTTTTGTTTGTCTTTCCTCTACTTTTAATTGCTCTGATTTGACTTTAGCTTCATTTTTTCTCCGTTTCTTTAGATCCATGGAATTTTTTCAACTTTTGTTCTGTTCTAAAGAGGAGAAAATTTAGACTGTCGTTGAAGTAAAGAATGAGCCAAATACACAGACAGTATCCTTTAAGAAAACCTTCTTTCAGACTTTTAATTAATTATCTCAATCGAGAAAGTGAATTATTCTGTGCTGTTTTTTGGCAAGTAACACACATCTGACAAAAGGGCGAATATTATTGTAATAATACAGGTTTTATGACTTTGGAAATTCTTTTTCTAGTTTTCAATTGTTTAAATTCGTGAATGGACCATTAACAATCTCTTGGACTTCTACAACCCTAGAATTAGAGCTTCAATATACATTTAAACTAGATTTAATGTCAAAATTAAAGCACCATTTCGGTTTACTCTTTGAACCGAACTGTTTGGCAGTCCCTGTTATTCTAATTTTTGTATTCTGCTTTTAAAATTAAATTCATTAATTTCTGACCTATAAACTGGGAAAATGACACTGCTCGATTTTGGCTTCTAATTCGGCCTCCTCTCGGGTTCTTTTTATGCCTTGCAGGTACTTATTATAGCAACCATGTTCCGATTGAATTGGGTTTTTTCCATGATTTGCCAAAGTGCAATTTGGTAACATTTTAAACATATTGGTAATGATGTTAATGGTCATAAGCAATTACGTTTTGAATGTCTATATTGCAATAGTCCAAATATCAATGTGCTAGTCCAGTATCTAGATGTGAAAACCATTTACGCATTTGTCCAAATGCCACAATTCAAACCAAAGAAATTATTTTGGAGAACATTTTGATACTTCAAATACTAGTATACAGATAAATTACAATGTAATTGAAAATACCATCAAAGAAGCTGATTAAACACATGAAAATTTTCTTGAAGAATCAAATAAAAATGAAAGCAGTCTGATTTTTATGATATTTAATTCATTCAATATAATCAATGATCCAATTAAATATATAAATCAAACCTTTAGTATAAAATGTGCAAGTTGAATAAATTAAATAAAGATTTAATGTTCGTGTTTATTGTATTTTATTATAATAAATTTCAGTTTATATTACATTTTGAAAATCATCCAATCAAATTTCAACACTATTATACGTACTATACATACTATGGTTGGCTCGGTCTAAAGACCTCATATTGCCAAATTTAGACATGATTTTCGAGTGTTAGTCTAAATTTAGTAATGGTGATCTAAAACTAGTCTAAATTTATCAATGATACTAGTGCTAAATTCCTCGCGAGCATAGTAAAGTACATGTCTTAAAAAAGAATAAAACTCTACAACAAATAATTTTTTTGAGAAAATCCCTCTATTACATAAAATTAAAGACCTATTCTATCAACTAATAGAGCTATTTTTTTTTAAAAGGTGGGACAGCAAATGACTTCTATACTTTTAAAATTTGCACAAAATTTAGGAGGTCTTTAGACCAAGCCAACTATATTTATTTAATAAAAATATATATAGCAAAGTTTTTTTACACTGTTTCCTTTTTTATAGGAAAAAAGGAGATATCATAAGAAAATCCGCATATATTGATTTACATCATGTCAGCATGATGTAAATTTGATTTATTACATTTAACACTTTGTGATGGTCTAAAAATTATGATATAACCTTTAAGTAGATTTGTATATGTAAAATCACGTTTTCAATTGACAAAAAAGTTATTTACATAATAATATTCAAATAAACTTTATAATTATATCTAAAATAGAAAAAAAAAAGTAGTTTCTACTTTGACCATCTAGATAACTCCAATGTCCATATTGCAAGCATGTGATTTTAAATACAGCTCATGACATGTCCAATAAGTATATAAGATAAAATAAATATAAAAGTCCAATAATATATAGATTTTCCCTGTATCCACACACAGCTCAGGGTTCCTTATTCAAATACTCAATATGCTCCATATCCGCACACAGCTAGGAGCTCTCAATACTCAATTCTCTTACTAGGCCTCCATATCCGCACACAGCTAGGAGCCTTCTCAAAATACTCTATTGTGCAATTCTTACTTTACAGTACTAATGCTAAGCACTGCTGGAAGCCTAAGATAATAAAATAAAAAGAATATATACAAGAAATATTTACAACTATACCACTTGAGGTGTCTCTACAAGCAAGCATAGAACAATCAAATGGGGGATTCTTAACCAATGATTAGTGGCCAGACCACTAATCATCAGAGAGGACCACGGAACAATTCACAATGGCTTTTCCTGTTAACTATACATGCAGCCCAAATTGGTTTGGTGATTTTGATGGCCAAAATTATTCCAATTTTGATGGTAAAAAGTAGAAATTAATTATGGCATTCACTATTAAAAACATAAGTGTAACACCCCTTTACTACATTTGTAACCCCCTTTATGACAGTGTCAAATACTTTGGGCTGCATGTATAACTTTAACTATACAAAATTCATAATAAAGTAAAATGTGTTTATTAATTATTAACAACGGGGGGGGGGGGTAATTATTCAATTGTTATCAACATGATTATTCTCACTTGGTCTAAAACCAGGCCTTTTTATACCTCTTGAGGTATTACAAATAACGTAATGTGTGCTATTCTACTCTCCAATAATATGCTTATCAACTAATTACTAATTCTAAATAAATATTTACATCAGATGAGTAAGTTCAGAAATATAAATATAGAAATATGTGACGCAATATGTGGCGCAGCCGTTACAATGTAGGGTCGGATTCATTTCGTCGACAATCATTTCGTCGACAGTCATTTCGTCGACAATCATTTCGTCGACAGTCATTTCGTCGACAATCATTTCGTCGACAGTCATTTCGTCGACAATCATTTCGTCGACAGTCATTTCGTCGACAATC